ATCCGGAAAAATAGTTTCATTTCCTATGAATAACATAATATTTAATTCACAATAATCTTAAATTTTTTTTAGTGCTGAGTAATATATAATACAGATTTATTATATCAATATAATGAGACGCCATAAGTTCATGAGCTAGTAGACAAGGGTTCTCGAATTTTCATTTTGTATTGCCGAAAAATATTATGTAGCGAATATACATAATTATTAACTAGGTAATGATAAACGAGGGTCATATTCTAGAACTATACTCAATGCTCAAGTCAGGATTTGAGTATGGTTTAAAGCACTCGAAATCATACTCAAGTCCCTGCCATTAGGGTCGTATTTCCAGTGCTTGTGTTTCCAGTGCAATCCTGACTTGAGCATTGAGTAGAGTTCTAGAATACGACCCTTAGGGTCGTATTTGAGTATGGTTTAAAGCACTCGAAATCATACTCAAGTCCCTGCCATTAGGGTCGTATTTCCAGTGCTTGAAATCATACTCAAGTCTGCTCAAATCCTGACTTGAGCATTGAGTAGAGTTCTGGAATACGACCCTTAGACACGCAATGTCAAATACCTTGGTTACCTTATACAAAATTACCTGTCCCAAATATAACATTTTAAGTGCTTTTAATATATATTTTTAAATAAATCGTCAATATTACTTTAGTTAGTGAATTAATGAACAATATAATATAACGATATAAATACCTAATGAACATATGTAATTATTATCATGATTCTAATCATATAATTATGGATAACAGATTCGCGTTAGAATTTTCGCTATGTTGCCGTTCTAACCACGTAACGTAATTGTACGTGATGGGTAACCTTTTCCACCAGTATTCAACCAGTTCACGCACACATTTGCAGGTGTGCAGATATCGCCTCGCTGTATGTAGTAGTAGTAGGTAAATAACTTTCGACTGTTGTATGGAGGGCTCCGGGGGTGTTTAGCAGTACAATTTTGCAGGAATATTAGATTTCACCTCATTGTTCCTGCATTGTTAATTAACACAACAAAAATCGCCAAGTGGACTAAATATAAGAAAAGAAAAATAGTACATTGTGTCTGTCTATTCAAAATTTAATTATTCGCCATAACGTATTTAATATTGATTTTTTGAATATCTTGATGTTCCACTACCATGCATAATATTAATTAATTTCAAGTAATTTATTATAATTATTAATACCAAGCGATCTTGGACAAAGAAAAATTTCTTCTGTATGATAAGACTCAAAAAAGGTTTATTTTATGTAAACACAATTTACAAAAATGAAGAAGTATATTTATTTACTACAAACCTATCGCTTAACCGACTCAGGAACCGACTCCTGAGGTAGCTGAACGACGCTGGAGGAGTGCTAGTTTACGTAACAGTTAGAACAGTTACACACGGCGACTTTTAGCAGCGATGCAAACGCGACGCAAACGCAATGCAGTAGCGATGCAGTAGATAATCGTGTACCTTTACACACATGTGCGACTTTTATGCTCTAGCCTCTAGCCGCGGAGGCGTTCCGGGCGCGGCCAGAGCATAAGCAAAGATGCAATCGCGCGACTGCATCGATACAAACGCGCGATTGTATCGATCAAATGCAGTCGCGCGTTTCACGAACGGGGGTTTAATCGTTGCTAAAAGTCGCCACTCTTATGTCGCGTTGTACACGGGATAATTTCAACAAGATTTTTATGATTATTACATATTCCATAGCAATTCGATTGAAAAAAATACTTATCAGATTGAATTTAGTATTTACTTTAATGCATGGTGACCTTCGTTTGTGTTATGTCTCTTTATAGATTTAATTTTCTATTTGAGCTGAGATGAGCATAAGTATACATTAAATGCATTATTAAGTAAAATCTTATTGCAACTACAGGCTATATTTCACCTAATTAGTTCAAAGTTATATACATAACATTGGCGGTATGGTGCGTCTCGCACGTTTGCCGTGAATGATGATTTTTCACCATAATACATAAAGACATTGGTTTTCCTTATGAAAGTGAACTTATCTGCCAATAATATTGTACAACAGTATGCATTACTTTCTATTTTTAAGCAGACTCAATATTCAAGAGAAAAATTGATTCTCAATTATCATCATCCTCAACATCATCAACCGATTTAATCGTCCCACTCCTGGGCACGAGTCTCCTCTCAGGCGAGGGTTTAGGCCCTTAATTTTACTTTAAATATAATTCTTGATTCTTAATTCATTCATTTATTAATAATAATTTTCTGTTATTAAAAGTAAATAGAAATGTAGTAATAAAGAAATGTAAGTTATTAATGAGTTTATGCTTAAATAAAGAAACATTTTATTTTTATTTATTTGTGTCAACTTTATTAAGCTCAACACCAGGATGTAGGTTTAGCTTCTAATCACTTAACCCTTAATTAGTTGCGTGAGGTGTTTCACACCCCATCACAGGTTTCTAGGCTTATAAGTCTTGAAAATTTGAACTTACAGTGCCTGTCTTCTGCCTAGCTTCGTAAACGGGATTGTAGTTCGCCATTCATTTATAATCTGCACTTGTTTGTATATAGTTGTAGTAGTTGTACATATGTGACTGTATGTGTACATAAAATTATGTAAGTAATTTTTTTATTATTATTATGCATTTAAACAATACAGATGGACAAACAATACATTGTAGTGACATTTATAAAACTAATATATAGGTATTTTAAAATTATATGTGATGTGGTGTTTTTTTATTTTTGTTTTACATTAGGTGGGTGCCACATGCATTGACTGATTGGGAGATTGCGCAGCATTGAGAGACGAAGAAGAAAAAGCTATGGATAGTGCTTCTGAAGATGAACAACATCATGAGGTCATCGTAAGTGACCATAACATGGGCATCAGAACAATGTGAAAACGAAAACAATGTCATTCGCACACTAGCATGACTGCTACAAAAACAACACAAGATGCTTGAAAATGAGGATCCTGAATCAGCATCTAGAGCAGTTCAATCAGCTTCATATAAAACAATGCCACATACGTCCAAGAATCAAGGACCAAAAAACAAAAACTGAACGTTCCAAATGCCAAAATCATGGGTGCAATAATCACGATTCTAATCTGCCAAAATTCCGGTGAAGAAAATTCAGTTTTCAACTGGTATTCTTTTTTACATTTATAAAATGTTTTATCAGTTTTGTGTTTAGTCAGAAAGACATTATAAGTTATTGTGTGTTCAAATATTGTCATTAATAAGTCTGATTTTGCATGTATTTCATATTTTATTTCACGATTCTAATTTGGGGTATTGCACACCCCACACAATAGATTGTGTAACTTATTTGGCGTGACTAATTAAGGGTTAAAGAACTATCTCTAGGTGATGTTACTTTTAGACAATGTGTAGTTTATATTAACTACTGTACTATTTTTGCAGAGTAGTCTGTAGAAGTTGCATTTACATTTTGTTTTTATATAGCTACATATTATAGTGGTCAAATTAATAGCTAATACATTACCATTCTAAATGGTCTCCTTGTCTTAAGTTTTTATGGGTACAAATATTTCAAACCTTACCAAGTGCATGGATTGCCTGTGAGATGTGGTGAGAGCCAAACATTGGCTGCATGTATAATCAGAGCCCCTAGGCCTTGTTTCGACGTGTCGTAGAACCAAATCAGCCATGGTCTCCGGGCGTATCGGGGTTCACAGAACCTTTTACCTAAAAAATTTACACCAAATAAAAGTTTAACGTAATGTGCATTCGGTAATTCCGTAAACTTCCAACGTAGTTGCCACGGATTTTGCAGGCAATTAGAAACCTTATAAAGGTACTATGAATACTCAAAGCCTTGAACTAAAATGTTTCACCATTTTACCTATTAAACAAGTGAATGCCAGAACAGCTAAGAGAAATTGCATAAACCAGCCATAGGTATCAGTTAGAGCATCTTTCGAGCAATGCAGCTCGGACCAATAAATAGAATCAGAAGTATTATTCATGTTTCATCTCTATTCATGGGTTATGCGACTTCAGAGAAATTATTTCGCCACTTTCACAAATTTTATAACAATAACTGCATCACTTCCCACTTCATCAAACTACAAAATGAAATAATGATTAAGTATCTATTTTTTAAGAAAGTAAAATATTCTCAAAAATAAATGTAATTTTTTCATATTTTTTGACGTTTGTTTGACACAAAGAGAATTTAATGGTTTTGACATAGAAATAGTAGAAATCAGGAGTTGGTAACACCGATGTTCATTTAATTTTAGTCTGTTTAAAATAAATTATTAACTAGTTGTTGCCCGCGACACCGTCTGAGTAAAATTTATGTTTATGCTTCTAAAATATAATGAAATATATAAATAATTTAGGCTGTATGTTCCAGTGTAGAGATTCAGAGCGTTGAATCAGCAGTTATTATGAGAGTCATAATAAGGAACTTCTTGTTGGAGGAATAATTGTAGTTTTACCTCGTGGTCTTAGCAATTTAACGTCACTAATTTCCTTTGAAGAGCTGACCTCCACTAGGGGTAATAATAGGAGGAGTTGACACTAGAGTATGCAACACAAAAATATCCATACGATTGAAGATTGTGTTTTATTTTTCAGTTTACGTAATAAATTTAAATTTTTGTTAAAGATTCGCCTTAACTTTTTTAAATGAAAATCGAAAGACTGCAAACAGTAACAAATCATATTGATACCAGCCAATCTTCAAATCAAAGCGGATAAAATGACTTATCAAGTGATCGCCTGCAGATGTTTAGAATGTGGTAATGTTCTGACGGGTGCGGTGCAATGCTGCATGTACATACAACATAGGTATCTTTTAATGCGTGCGTTTAAAATTGAATGCGTGTTGACCGGTGGTGTTATCTATTAATTTTCGAGCATTAATTTTAACTTTGAACAATACAATATAAAATATAGTTTTATGTGTATCATAGAATTCAAAAGTTTGTGTATAAAATTGTATACTATATATAATAATACTATATATTACAACAACGTGTAGTTGTAATAAATAATAATGTAACACGTATCAATAAATAATGACAATACAAAGCCGATTGGAAGCGTGGCATCATGATATAATAATATATTTAAGTTCTTAGTATTTGACACAATATATAATAGGTGGCGTCCTATCCACATCTATAATTAATTACATCATCATATAATTGCACACTTTATTTTTTACAAATTTAACATAATTCCAGAGTTATTAATGGAAATACATATTATTATTTTGTTTGTTATGGTTTATTGATGGAAAATTATAGGAAATGAAACAATTTTTCCGGATTTAAATCGCGTATATTTGTTTTTTCAAACAAACTCGATGGTTAATTATGTTTAAGCAATGATTAGATACGTAAAAAAGTTCATTGGTTTACAGGAAGCGTTTTCAGTAAAATACAAAGCACAAATTAGAAAGCCATAGCGGAAGATATTAATTATATGTGTGATCTTTATTGGAGAGATGATCTAATAGATCCAAAGAGAAAAATAATGTAATGACTACATTATGTAAACTCTCTCAAATTAGTAGGGAGACAGCGTTACAAGTGGTAACATTGTTTAACCCTGAGAAATTTGCCTAGACCCAGTTGTTTTCGTGTTAATGTTGCCATTTCATTAAATTTTTGCTGCAGTAATTTCAATATTTACTGTACTTTTTTGCATATTAGCAACCACCAACGCAGCATTGATCTTAGTTTCCTAATATATTTTCTTCTACACAAAATATACATGGTAACATGGTAAATTACTTAAGGTCTGACTTTTGACAATTTTTTTGACATTTAAGTTACTTTTGCACAATTTTAAATATTTAATAGCAACATTTTCCACTTCCATCAACCAAACATTTTGTGGTTCTGCCATTGCCGCCATTTTTATCGTTTTCTGTTGTTTCTCAACGATTTAATAAACTTTAATTTTGACTATAGGATAAAACAAAAATCTTAGTTTAGGCAATTTTTTTTTATTGTTTATTTTAAACTCCTTCAACAACGCACTGGTAAGTGTTATTTCATGTTTTAATTTTCCATATTTCATGAACCAGTTTGGAAGTCAAGTATCGATTATTTTACGGCCGGCTTTATGGTTGAACTAGTTTTTACCAAGTACTCTACACAGTTATTACCAAGCGCTACAGAGGAAAGTAATTACGTATTGGTTATAAATACTTATTAAAGTAATAATAACCATTGTTTGTTTTTTGGTTACGTCTTTAGATTCAAACCTATATAATTAATCATACGTATTTATTTGCCGTGATGAATATGACTACATAAATATGGACTCCTTACTATTACTGCTTATTTCGTATTTTCCTTTCCCTACATTTAGTTATGAACAATTTGAGTGTGTATTCGAATAACAATGAAATTGAGGTTATATCAATAACATTAAATTACGTCTATTACACTACCAATACGCATTTTGCTTTGTACGTAGTTTGTCATCTTGTTTATTTTACTATAGACACGGTTATTATTCTAGAAACGATAGACATTAACAGCTTAAGTACTAGACAGGTTTAAATGAATGTATTTGGACCCCCCAGTGAAAGGGCATCCTCATCATTAATATTGCCAGCCATCATTTGCGTGCTGGTCGTCCCCGTGGATATGGTTAATTGCTAATCATTAAATTACCACTTTAATTCTGTTTCAAGAGATGGAAATGGGCAAGTACTTAAGAGGTACCTAATTTAAAATTAATAAATTTTATACTATTAACAATTAGTTTAATTTAAATGGCTAATTTCATTTGGTGATTCATTGTGTTTGTATATTTGATTAAAAAAATATTTGTCCCATTTGCCATTTATTTGAGTAACAATTTGAATCTCTGCTTTAATATATTAGACTCTGGTAATTTTAATAGCAGTAGAGCTCCTTGTGAAAGAGTTTGGCCAGGGAAATACTGCCACCTTACCTACCTATTTCTGCCGCCAAGGGGTATGTGAGCATTATTGTATTCTGGTTTTGAGGGGTAAGGTTGCTGGTGCAATTACAGGCACATGGGACTTTTCAACTTATGTCTCAAGGCGACGGGCGCAGTGCCATCTTTGCCATTTAAAGCTCTTGAGTGGCACTGCAACTACTATGAACAGTTGTGTCGCTTGACATGACTTGCTTGTCCCATTACTTCATATCATAAAAAAAAGTCCATGTTCTAGCTCACAGCACTTAAGGCAGTAGGGTAAACAATAAATAAGTCAGTGGCTTAATCTCTTTCCAATCTTCTCATGTCAATATTTTCATATATCTTTAGTAAGTTTCTATGAAGGGAAGGGCATAGTCTGGATGACGATACACTGCAAAGTAACATGTCTGTTATGATGGGATGACTTCTCAAACCCTTTGCAGGTCATCACTGCTATCAGGTATTGATCTGCAGAAAGGAACTTGTCTTTTGTGTGATTTTATCTTCTCTGTTTGGTGCATGCAACAACTGAAGCATTGTATCAGCTCATTCAATCAATCAGCCTATTGCAGTCCAGTGCTGGACATAAGCCTCCCCAAGTGTACGCCATAGTGCCCGATCGCTCGTTTTCCGCATCCAACCACTACCCGCGACCTTCTTCAGATCGTCGGTCCATCTTGCAGGGGTATCTTTTATTTCGTACGTAATCAAATTATACTTGAAATCGTCACATTAAACAAAAAAACGACTAGTCATTAGCAGGTCAATTTCATTTCATCACAAACATTCAATAGCTGGAAGTACACCAAGTATTCGTATCATCTATGTAATAATTGATTTTATAATAAGCTTTTCTAATTAGTACATTTTTAACATGAGCTTTAAATATTTTTTCTTATAAGTTTTGTACAATGTCTGGAATTTTATTATAAAAAAACGTATACAGTGTATACATAAACATATACCACAAATGACTAGCAGTAACTTGTAGACTTGATAAAATTAATCGTAACTTTATCAAGTCTGAGCATAGGGGTCACAAGTTTATTTTTGTTTCTATGATTAAGGTTATGCCTATCACTGTTTTTCGGAAATAATTTTATATTTTTGCGAACATACATTATATTTTCAAATATAAATTGACTTGGCAGATTTAAAATATTTGATTCTTTAAATCTTTCCCTTAAAGTATCATGGCGACCTAACTTATAAATTGCACGTACATCTCTGTTTTGTAGCACAAATATTGTTTGAATGTCTGCCGCTCTTCCCCACAACAATATGCCATAGGCCATAACGCTATGAAAATAACTAAAGTAAACTACCTTTGCTGTAGCTTCATCCGTTAGCTGCCTTATTTTCCAAACGGCGTACGATGCCGGACTCAATCTACCAGCTAAAGATTTTATATGGGGTCCCCATTGAAATTCAGAGTCTATAGTAATGCCTAAAAACACTGTGTCGTCTACGAAGTCTAACGTATTATTATCTAGTACTATATTACAATTTAACTACCTAACATTTGGAAGGGTAAAATTTATACATTTAGTTTTCTTTGCGTTGAGTACCAAATTATTAACAGTAAACCAGGTGTGGACTAACAAATAGAGCATCATTTACATTGTTAAGTTTATCGTCTGTTCTATCAACTTTTTAAAGATGTGTCGTCAGCAAACAATACAATTCTAGTCAAATCTTGAACCATAAACAGCAGATCATTTATATACACTAAAAACAAAAAAGGATCAAGTATTGATCTTTGCGGTACTCCCATCTTGACTTGTGAACCCAATGACCTAGCCCCATTTACTTTTACTTTCTGAATCCTGTCCTCGAAATAGGAACGAATCATTTCCAGACTAACATTTCGAAAATCCATAATGTTTTAATCAACAAGGTAGCGTGAACCACGCAATGAAAGGCTTTTGACAGATCGCAAAAAATGCCTACTACATTTCGAGAGTCATCCCAAGCATCTAAATAAATGCTCCTCTTGATTAAACTTACACTCACATCTGTGGTACTACGCCCTTTGGTAAAGCCATATTGGTGATTATGGAATATATTGTTACTGTAAAAATGAGACAGCATTTGATC